CCGATAATCACCAGTTGGCCGCCAATCATTGCTGTCCTTTTTAGGGACCATGTGCAATGGGGATGCCCATGGACTATTCGATGATCGAATTATCCCTAGGTCCATCATGTGGTCGAATTCGTTTTTAGCTAACCTAAGCTTTTCGGGAGCGAGTCTTCGGGCTTTCGAAAATACAGGTGGTCCTGTAGTCGAGATGTGATGTGTAACATTGCTGGTTACACAAGGCAATTTCGATTGCGATTGGTGTATCCCGGGGTATTTGTCGAGTACTGATTGGTACAAGGGGTCTATGGTGTGCCTAATTGTGACTGGGGATAATTTGCAACCAGAAAAAGGAGTTACGCAAACGGATAACTTAGTGTTTCCGTTTATTAACTTTCGTGAGCGTGTGTCGATGAGTGGAATGTGGTGTTGTAACAGGTCTATACCAATGATTGACATAGAGACATCTGCAACCACGAAAATGCAGTGTATGGGTTTGCGTAAACGTGGGGTTTTTGACCGACAACGGTCATTACGAAATCTAAGGTATCGGGTGAGTGTATGACATAATTCCTTAATGTCGTTCGGGGTCGTTTGAGGCCTTTCTTTGACTGAAAAGACCTCAGCGCTAGTCGACTTCATAATTTCTAGAATTCGATCTGCATATGCGGCTAGTTCGTCTACGGCGTTGTTTTGGAACGAGACGAGCGCTGCCTGCACCCGTTTCGGGAGTTTGGATAAGAAAAGTTGTTTGAATAGGCCTTCGTTGAAAGTTCTTTGACCTGTTACTTCTCTCATCCTTAACAACATGTCCGTCGCGGAACCATGTTGCAGGTCGATATTGTTAAGGAGTTGGTCTAAACGTTGTCGGTCGGTTAGATCTCCACGTCTCAGAATCGATCGTTTTAACGTTTCGTAAGGTTCCGAAACATCACTAGTAAACATACTAGATGTTACGTACCTGTTGAACTCGCGCGGTAACGCCTTAACTGACGCGAGGAATCGTGAGCGTGAGTCTGTAATGCTGTGGCCGTTAAAGTCGGCTTCTGCGCAGCAGAACCAGGACTCGATATTATCAGGCAAAATGGCGTTAACTGAATCGATGACGGGGGGAGTAGTACTTAACTTAAATACTTAAGGTGACTGTTCCGTCATAGTAATATAAAGAACGAAAAATGTCTAATTAAAATATATCCGGAAAAATTTGGGAAAAAAAGTATATCACAATATATAAAAATCAAATAAAGAATAACAATGAATAATAATATTCCAAAAAGGAACAGACACTATTTATTGGCTTGGTGTACCAGATCACGTCGGGCTCACCACTGAAGATACGACCAGTATTCTAGTTTTGACAACTAGCGACCAGCAGTACCTTCTATATTTGAAACCTGCTTACGCCCGATAGAAATTTGAAGTCAGACGAGAAGAAGTAGGAAAGATATATTTGATACGTTATCTATATATCGAGAAGCGTTTGTTCTTAGCTAGCTAATAAACGTTGGAGCTGTATCCCACGCCGAGTCGAAACGTGATCTGGTACGGATGCATGACCGAAAGCCTTCAGTTAAACAAGTCCGCTTAAACAACGTGGTCAGCATCTAATGTCGAACACTTAGAAAGCTATTGAGTTCGGGGAATTATTTACAGCTACAATCGATTGGTTGAATCAATACGTTTAATTAGGCAGTTGGAGTTAGTCAGAAGCTGATTATTCCAACAGCGGTTCCAGCAAACGCTTTAAGTTGTTCACTGCATCTAATTTTGATTACTTGAATGTCTGAGGCCTGTGTTATTACTGATTGTTGTCTACCGCTTTCCGTAGTAAACGTAAGTGTGCTATGTGCACTTGCTGGGTCTTCCAATCACCTTTTATATTTTCCTCCTGTTTTCCACCCCTCTTCACTGATTCTACTTCGCACGATCCCCATGTGCAAAGTGCCTTCTGTTTAGACTTTTAACCACTCATATGGGTGCCTCAGGAATGACTTTGTTGTAATAAGACAATGGTTCGTCAATAACCTTAATCTTAACCAAAGCGCTCCACCCAAAATATTGTTTTGTAGTGGTGATAAAAGTCATTACATGCAACATTAATAATGAGTTTGTATTTCTCATTGCAGGGCAACAATGAGTGAATGCACTGGAAGTAGAAGAACAAGCTCTACGCGGTCTGAACCTGTAGAATAACGAGTAAAACGTTTGCAATAACTTTCCCATTTTTGTACTAAAAACCGCGTTTTTCAATTTCAAATATATCTGTTGAACCAGCACACCGTGTTCTCACTTCAGAGGCACTTGTCTGTTCTGACTGTTGTGTTGCTGTTTCAGGTCGCTCTTGCTCCCAAGTAAACGTCAAAATATAACATGCTTCAAGTGGTGATGGAGGTGCCTATGTCAAAACGCGATGAAAACTATGATGAACCACGGGTCATTCCAAGCAAGTCAGCAACCGTTGCAATCATCCGCCAACCATCACTACTGGGAGTTTCGTCAGACTATGCTATTTGGAAGGTCAGGGTAACGACGTATTTACGTAAGGTTCCAGCTACAGAACATTTCGACTACCTCCTATCGTGCTTAGACGGTGAAGCAGCAAAAAGTGCGATAGTCAATGGTTTTACTGCAAGCAACTCATCTGTTCAAAACTGGAAGATTCTTGACGAATGTTTTTCGTCAACAGTAGACACTCAGCCGAGGACCATGCAGTTTCTATCGCGTCACCAGAAAATGAGTGAGGAGCCCACTGAATACCTACACTTGCTGCAGCAAGCCGCAATATTAGCCTTCCCCAGCTTAGACGTCTCTGTTCGGGAAGAATTAATACGTGCACGATTTACAGAGGGGCTCTTGCCAGGTGCACCGCGACAGCACCTTCTATACATGCCACCGAAAAGCATTCAGGACATAAGAACCACAGTCCTTCGGTTCGTTGCCGCGGATAAGCTATCAAACGCTTTCAATACATCTCATTTGTCAGCGAAAGTTATTGAACAGCCTGGAGTACCACATCAGTCCGACCCTACTCAAACTATTTCCGCGGTCAAATGGCGCCCCGATAGACAGCCGTTACGAATTAGTCAACATAATCGGAAAACGGAGTGTTTTTATTGCCAACACTAGCCGGAGAGCCCGGAAATGCGGGCACAATAAGTTTTGGAAGCAAGTTGAGACTAGTTTTTCTCATTTGTCAGTATATCCTATAACCATAGCTGGTAGTTCACAGGGCCTACAGACTACTATTCTACTGGATACAGGAGTTTCAGTATCCATTGTGAGAGAAGGATTTTTAAGCAAATTGAATCGCATAAACCGACAAAAACCATGTTCCTCTCACCTCCTAGGATATAACGGTTTCCGTTCTTTGATGTTGTAAGTGGCCCCATGATATCGATACCAACTCGTTGATGTGGACCTTCTGTCGTCATTGGGACTAACGGTGCACGGGATCTTTGCTGAGGTGACTTGATGGCATGGAACGTCTTCATGGATGGATTACCATCGCACGTTCGGTTTTCCGTTTCCGCGAGTGCCCGAGTTCTCGATGCACCTGCTCCATAATATTTTGAACTTGCACACGTGGTACTATCAACAATGGTTGTTTTGACTCGCTGACTAAATAGCGTGTCCCCATACAATCTAAGGCTACTCCACTTGGCACAAAGACGGCGCGTCGCTGGGGAACGATCCTTTAACTCTGCCGCAGAAGGTTTATCGTTTCCGTGTAGTTGTCGTAGATAAATGAAGTGCAGGTCAGGGTCTGTTGCTTGAAGAGACGGCCAGTCGATCTCTGGGGCTGTGCTAAGGACAGCACTAATGTTACTAGGAGCATAGGGTATACGAGGCAGAGAATCGGCGTTTGTGGGACGGCTGCCTGGTCGGTATTCACAAGTAAAATCGAACTCCTGCAATCTCTCCTGCCAGCGTGCCACCTGACCTTGTTCGCGAAATGAACGAAGCCACTGTAATGCACGATGGTCTGTGCGCACACGAAAAGGGCACCCTAAGAGATAGTGACGAAATGTCGCAAAGTTTTTACCAAAGCCAGCATCCCGGCTCGTCGTAGAATATCTTGTCTCTCTTTTATCTAACCGCCGGCTAGCGTACGCTATGACCCTCTCCCGTCCATCTTGTGTTGTTTGAGAAAGGACTGCTCCGAAAGCTGACGAGATAGCATCAGTATCAAGTATAAACTCACCTCCTTTATCTGAAGTGTCTGGAAAAGCTAGTATGGGTGGAGCAGCAAGACATGAATTCAGGGTGTTAAATGCTTGTTGGGATTCTGTAGTCCACAAAAATTGCTCACGAAACGTCTATAGTAAGAAGCGAGCCCCAAGAAGCTACGTACCTCTTCCGCAGGTTACGGTTGTGGCCAGTTAATAATGGCGCTCGTTTTTTCCTTATTTGTTGCTACTCCATCTTCTGTGTTGCGATGTCCTAGAAAGAGTACTTCTTTCTGCAAGAGTCGACATTTGGACGATTTAACCTTTAAATTGTGCTGTTTAATACGCTGTAAGACCGCCCTCAAGTTGGCATTATGCTGTTCAGGCGTGCTGCCATACACAATAATATCATCAAGGTAAATCAAACATTTGTGTGGTACCAGGCCATGTAGAACCGTCTGCATGAGTCGTTGAAAGGTTGCTGGGGCATTAGTTAACCGGAAAGGCATCACCTGAAATTCGTAGAAACCATTTGGCATAACGAATGTCGTTTTCTCCCTGAAGTCGTACTTCTACTTGCCAGTATCCGGATGCTAGGTCTAAAGTCGAAAACCAACACGCACCTTTCATAGCATATAATGTCGCATCAATCCGTGGTAATGGGAAGGAGTCGCGCTTTGTTAGAGCATTAAGGCGAAGGGAGGAGTCTTTCTTCTTCACTAAAACAATGGGTGAAGCCCACGGTGATGAAGATGGCACAGTAATCTTTTTCTCTAACATCTCTTTTATCATTGATTCTAGCTGAGGCTGATAGTGTACCGGTACTATTCGGGGTGGTTGACGTAATGGCATGTATAGTGACATTTATGTCTAGTGATTTTTTGTAACAACAAATTAAAGGTCACATATTTTTCCTAGTTGTCACACTTTTTATGTAATCACACTCATATTCGATATTTATTGTTTTTCTGTATCAATGGTAAAGAAACGAATACTTTTGTTTGGTTATATATAACACTTCTTCACTACCGCGCTTCTTAAAATATAAGCGTTGTATCCGCCGTCTATTCTTCTGCTTTAACGGCCACGGCCTTTGATTGAAGATTATAATAGTATTATAACATCTTTTTAGACCATTCCACACTACGTTGGTGTTTTGGCCCGGATCATTACTGAATAATACTACTGGATCTAATCTTCTCCATTTTGCTGTTGGTGCCATCACGTGCAGAGGAATCTTTGTTAACCAAGTGAACTTATTTGTGGTTGTTATCTCAGAAAGCAGCTTACAAGTAACATTCATTTCATAACACTGTTACCATTTTGTTGCTCAATATACCTTTTTATAATTTAACTGTAATTTGTTACCTTTTGCGTTAATCATAGACACACGCTTAGGTTCGTAGTGTTAATTCTTTTGGTATATTGTTGGTAACGTTGCGAATTGTTATATTTCAACTAAGCTCTTTTGCTGAGGTCCACCACAAATCTGGTGAGCCCTTATATTTCTGTTTGGAACTGTAATTTTGAGTTCACTTATAAACATTGCGGCGCTGATTTTTCTCTTGGTAGTGATTATTTTTTGTATATTTGTAATGTTTTCATCCGAGTCTGAAGACATCAGCCAGGACAACGACCGAACAGAGTTACACGCTTTAAACGTAATAAATGTACCTCCATTCAGTAGAGTAAACCCTCGTATATGGTTTGCACAGGTGGAAGTGCAGTTTCAGCGTCGTAACATTCGTTCACAACAATCGAAATACTCCTTTGTGCTTGGAATTCTACCAACTTAGGTAGCATCTGAGGTATCAGACCTCATAGACAACGTCCCTGTATCAAATGCCTACGACCAGTTGAAGCAGGCTATTATTCAACGTACCTCACTCTCGGATGAAAAGAAGCTACAACAATTGCTACATGAGTGCGAGCTAGGTGACAAGTCACCTTCCCAATTATTACGCCACATGAGGCAGTTGGCTGAACCTTTTAAGGTTGGTGATATATTTCTGAGAGAAATTTGGCTACAACGTTTACCAACAGTAGTCCGGCAAATTCTCTGCGCTTCTAACCAATCTTTAGACTTAGAGGTTCTAGCTAGCATGGCTGATAAAGTTCTAGAAGTAACGCCAGGCACAACACCCTACGTGCAGGCGATATCACAAACTTCGAGTGACACTAAAACTCCGAACATAGCTTCCTTAACAGCTGAATTAAGTGATTTACGTACACAGCACGCACGCACAGTCGCCAGTCTTGAAAACAAGCTAGATACATTACAATCAATTATTTCCAATCTCACATCTCGAAAGTCTCGCTCTAGTTTTCAGGGGACCAAGAACCGAGATAACTCAAGAACAAAGAAAAATGATGACATCTGTTGGTACCATAGAAAGTATGGTGACCAAGCTAGAAAGTGTGTTACGTCCTGTAAATTTTTCAGGTCATTTTCCTCGCCAAAAGATGTCAACCAGGCAGTAGTACCGACAAATGTTACAGGTCATGCTACTAGTCACCTTTTCCACGTTCTCGACAAAACTTCAGGCTACAAATTCTTAGTAGACACTGGAGCCGAAGTCAGTGTTATCCCAGTTACGCTAGCCAAGAAACCTATTTCTAAATGTGGAAAATATTCATTGAGAGCAGCTAATAAAACTGAAATAAAAACATTTGGAGAACAACTCTTGACATTAGATTTGGGAATTAGACGTCGACTAAACTGGGTGTTTATTATTGCTGATGTCCGTCACCCTATATTAGGTGCAGACTTTTTAAGCTCCTATAACTTATTAGTCGATGTTAAAAAACGAAAACTTATCGATTCGTGCACAAAACTTCAAGTTCATGGAATTCAGTCACACTATCATATACATAGTATTAAAATCGACACTCCAGTAAACGACGTATTCGCCAATATTTTATCTAAATTTCCAAAGTTAACGAAACCAGATTACAGCGAAAACACCATCCAGCATTCTGTGGTGCATCGAATTATCACCAAAAACCAACCAGTTTCGGCACGTCCTCGTCGTTTACCACCGGACAAACTTGCAGTTGCAAAGGCCGAATTTGAGCACATGATGCGACTAGGAATAATACGTCCGTCGAGTAGCTCCTGGGCATCCCCACTCCACATGGTACCTAAGAGGGATCAGGATTGGCGACCTTGTGGTGATTATCGATCACTGAATAACTTAACTTTACCAGATCGTTACCCCATTCCCCATTTACACGATTTTTCACTTACGTTACACGGTAAACAAATTTTTTCTAAGATCGACCTTGTGCGAGCGTACCATCAAATTCCAGTAGCATCTGAAGATGTAGCGAAAACAGCCATCATTACCCCATTTGGTTTGTTTGAATTTCTGAGAATGCCATTTCGATTAAAGAACGCCGCACAGACTTTTCAACGATTTATGGATGAAGTCACTAAAGGCCTAGATTTTGTTTTCGTGTATATCGACGATGTATTAATAGCCAGTAGTTCATTTCACGAACATATTGATCACCTACATCAACTTTTCGAAAGATTTCAGAGATTCGGTATAGTCATTAACCCATCCAAATGCATTTTCGGAGTCGAAGGCTTAGAATTTTTGGGTCACTCGATTGACAAACATGGTATCAAACCCTTAGACGCAAAAATTGAAGCTATCAAAAATTTTCCAGAGCCAGACTCACTAAATAAACTTCGACGTTTCTTGGGTATGTTTAATTTTTATCGTCGGTTTATCCCTCACTGCTCAGATATTCTACAACCCCTAACGGAGGCATTAAAAGGCAAAGCCAAAAAGTTCACATTATCCTCCGAAGCGAAAGATGCCTTTACTGCTGCTAAAACAGCGATTGCTTCTACCACCATGCTGACCTACCTCAGTCCTGATCCAGAAGCAACACTAATTTTGTGTACAGACGCTTCTCAGGCAGCGGTAGGCGCGGTGCTGCAACAAAGAGTAAATAATGAAGTCAAGCCACTTGCTTTCTTTTCGAAGAAGCTAGAACCGGCCCAAACCCGATACAGCACGTTTGGCAGAGAATTATTAGCTGTTTATCTAGCAGTTAAACATTTTAAACACTTACTACAAGGTAGAGATTTCGTAATCTTCACTGATCACAAACCTTTGACTTACGCTTTCAATGCCAAAAGTGATCGTTATTCTCCTAGAGAAACTCGACAGTTAGATTACATTTCTCAATTTTCTACCAACATACAGTTCATAAAAGGTGAGTCAAATGTTGTGGCAGATACTTTGTCACGTTTCGACATTGATGCTATTTGCTCCACTAAAGGAATTGATTTGTTGGACATTGCACGCTTACAGCGTGCACGCTTTCAGCATGTCCACGTTGATTTAGTTGGTCCTTTACCCCCATCTAACGGATTTACTTACATCTTTACTGCAGTGGACCGTTTTACCAGATGGCCAATAGCATGTCCAATAAAAGATATCTCAGCAGAAAATATTGCTGCCGTGTTTCTTGACAGATGGATTTCTAATTTCGGTGTACCTTCTACCGTTACTTCCGACAGAGGTTCACAATTCCAATCGCACCTCTTCAACGAATTTACGCGCATCTTGGGAATCCATCACATCACTACAACTGCATACCATCCAGCAGCAAATGGACTAGTGGAACGATTCCACAGACAACTCAAAAGCTCATTGATGGTACAGCCTGATGTAACTAGATGGAGTGAATTCCTACCTCTCATATTATTGAGCATACGCTCGACAATTAAGGAAGATCTACAATGTACACCTGCTCAGCTAGTTTATGGAACTAATTTAACCTTACCTGGTCAACTAGTCACGCATAAAGGCACTTCTGTATGTACAGACCCCTCCTCCTTTTGCGAAAGACTAATGAGCCACATGAATAGCATTAAGCCTGTTGCACCTCGACCAGTCTTCTTAAAAGAGCAAATTAGCAAGCATCTAAACACATGTAAATTTGTGTTTGTCCGTGTCGACTCAGTAAGACGTCCTTTACAACACCCTTATGAAGGACCTTATGAAGTAGTAGACAGGCAAGCAAAATATTTCACAATCAAGAAGAATGGGAAAAAGGAAACAGTTGCAATTGACAGGTTAAAACCCGCTTTCATAGAGTCTGAAACACATAACAGTCGAAAGCCTTCTAAAGACAACAACTGCACAACACAGCTTCCTGCGTTTCCAGCTAATTCTTCACCTACTTCTGTGAAATCGCCAACTCAAACAATGTGTGATGCTAATGTTATGGCTCCTACAAACTTAGTTCCTAATTCCACTACCTTACCTATTTCAAAAACCACTCGTACAGGAAGACAGGTACATATTCCTAAACGTTATGCTGAATTCATTACTAAATCTTCCTTCGATCATATTCTGTAATGTGAGTAAATACCCATATGCTAAGAGTTACTCATGACATATTTTAACTATAAGTGTATGCGTTTTACATGACGCTCATTATTAACTGTAACGTTACCCAACTTAGTTGTATTTGTTCATTTTATAATTGATCGTTTACATTGATATATACAAATATTAAAAATTTTTCCGGTAATATATCAATTTAATTAACGTTATTATAAATAACACTATTATTTTTATTATACGTTCAATTATCTTTGTTAAATATTTTTAAATACATTAAAAATAATAAACACAAAATTTTTTTTTTCTAACCACACAAAAACATTTTGTTTCATAAGTATATATACTTATTAAAATTTTTTTTGATAACCTCTATTTATTCTTTCCTTTGTTGTGTAATAATTTTTTTTCCCTCCAAAGCACTTAGAATTTACGTCGGGCATACCACCACCGACGCATGCCCTAGAGGGGGAGTTATATAGTGACATTTATGTCTAGTGATTTTTTGTAACAACAAATTAAAGGTCACATATTTTTCCTAGTTGTCACACTTTTTATGTAATCACACTCATATTCGATATTTATTGTTTTTCTGTATCAATGGTAAAGAAACGAATACTTTTGTTTGGTTATATATAACACTTCTTCACTACCGCGCTTCTTAAAATATAAGCGTTGTATCCGCCGTCTATTCTTCTGCTTTAACGGCCACGGCCTTTGATTGAAGATTATAATAGTATTATAACATCTTTTTAGACCATTCCACACTACGTTGGTGTTTTGGCCCGGATCATTACTGAATAATACTACTGGATCTAATCTTCTCCATTTTGCTGTTGGTGCCATCACGTGCAGAGGAATCTTTGTTAACCAAGTGAACTTATTTGTGGTTGTTATCTCAGAAAGCAGCTTACAAGTAACATTCATTTCATAACACTGTTACCATTTTGTTGCTCAATATACCTTTTTATAATTTAACTGTAATTTGTTACCTTTTGCGTTAATCATAGACACACGCTTAGGTTCGTAGTGTTAATTCTTTTGGTATATTGTTGGTAACGTTGCGAATTGTTATATTTCAACTAAGCTCTTTTGCTGAGGTCCACCACACATGTGATCACCTGTGGGAATAGACTGTTGTACCGTGGTCGTCCGATTACCAGAGATATTCTCTGCGAAAACAGAACTAAATTTTTGAAGTAAGGAAATGGTTGATAGACGAACATTCTCTGTTATTTGTTCTTTGGTTTGTACCTGGTGTATGACTTCAGACACCCCTACGTGAGCTACCGACTTAGTTGCGTTCTTAAGGCGATGTGTCGGAATGGTTACTCTCCCGATTCGCGCTTCCGACTTAGCTACATGTATAACGACGTCGTATTTTAACATGAAGTCAACTCCAAGTATAACATCCCAGGTGAGTGTGGGGCATACTAAGAATTCGTGTAGGAATGAGTGTTTATTCACCGTTATTTTCAACCACACCTTAGACCGTACTTCCAGAAGGTCACCACCGGCTGTTTTTAATGTGGAGGAACATGGTTTTTGTCGGTTTGTGCGATTCAATGTGGGTAAAGGTTCTTTCAAATATGCTTGGGTATTGGATAAACTGAAGGCTGAACGCGAACGTGGTATCACGATCGATGTTGCGCTGTGGAAGTTGGATACCCAAAATTACCAAGTCACAGTTATTGATGCACCTGGCCATCGTGACTTCATCAGGAATATGATCACTGGAACAAGTCAAGCTGACTGTGCAATGCTGATTGTCGCGGATGGTGTTGGTGAGTTTGAAGCCGGAATTTCCAAAAACGGTTAGACAAGAGAACATGCATTGTTGGCATACACATTGGGCGTCAAACAGTTGATCATCGCTATCAACAAAATGGACTGCACAGAACCTCCTTTTTTCTGAAGATGGCTACAAAGAAATTGTCAAAGAATTTTCCGGCTACATCCAAAAAGTTGGTTACAATCCCGCCACAGTTCCATTTGTACCGATTTATGGCTGGCACGGTGATAGTATGATAGAAAAGAGTACAAACATGCCGTAGTTTGAAGGTTGGGAGACAACAAGATGCCCTCACGGTCGCTCGAGCTTTCATTGATCATTGGGTCTCCCGTTATGGCGCTCCATTCTGACCAAGGTACAGCTTTTGAAAGCCATCTCGTCGCCCAGGTATGCCGATTATTGGGAATCCGCAAAACACATACTACTGCATATCACCCTGAAGGTAGCGGCTTAGTAGAAAGAACAAACCGAACCATTAAAACCCTCCTACAATCGTTTATCAATAATTCGTCGACGGAATGCTGGGATGATGCAATACCCCAATGCCTGTTAGCTTACCGCGCATCAGTTCACGGTTCCACGGGATTTTCACCTGCGATTTTACTCTTTGGACATGAATTACGCCTGCCTGTTGAGATCCAAATGCCGTTGTTGCCTTGTGAAGCTCAAGACCATGTACCATACGTCCGTAACCTTCGTAGCCGTCTAGCCGACGCATATCGTCTAGTTATAGCTAACCTACAAAATGCCAGCAAACACCAAAAAGATGTGTACGATCGACAAGCGGACGGGCCTGTATATAAACCTGGAGATCGTGTTTGGCTACATCTCCCTATGGCCCCACCAGGAACATGCGGTAAGTTCCACCAACCTTGGAAAGGGCCTTATGAAATCGTAATTATTCGGTCCCCTACAACATTCGTCCTACGTAACCTCCAAGACGACGTTATAACAGCACATCACAAACAATTGAAGCCAGATAGAACGACGGTGCACTTAGATACTCTGTTTGTCAATCCCCCGACCGCTACCAGCCATTATGAGGTGCCACCAGAAGGAGGAATAGCATACCCGTGCCCGCAACCAGGCACTGAGGACAGTACCTCATGGAGAGAGGGGGTAGTGTAACTGTAATAAAGATCATTACATGCAACATTAATAATGAGTTTGTATTTCTCATTGCAGGGCAACAATGAGTGAATGCACTGGAAGTAGAAGAACAAGCTCTACGCGGTCTGAACCTGTAGAATAACGAGTAAAACGTTTGCAATAACTTTCCCATTTTTGTACTAAAAACCGCGTTTTTCAATTTCAAATATATCTGTTGAACCAGCACACCGTGTTCTCACTTCAGAGGCACTTGTCTGTTCTGACTGTTGTGTTGCTGTTTCAGGTCGCTCTTGCTCCCAAGTAAGCGTCAAAATATAACGTGCTACAGTTTGTAAGCTGGTTTTCTGTCTGGCATTATTGGCCTAATAAAGAAAGTGTACGAGCAATAATTTACACGAAGACGTCCTATCACTTTCGTTTCGCTTAATTTCCACCTGTGAATTAGATTGTGTGCATAAACATCTATTGTGTAAACGGTTATTTTTAGTTTTCAGTGGTAAGGATAGGAGGTCTACCGACGTATATTAATCCTTGCAGTTGGCAACACTGTGAAGATTCAATCTCGTCTTAAATATATCAACAGAAGGTGTTGATATTAAGTGTTCTGGCAGATAACTCCGGTAGTTCACTACTCAGTGCGAAAAACAAAACTCCGGACATAGACAATTTGATTTCTTTTTTAAAACTTTCTTCGAATGTCTCCTCAAATGATCAATTTTGGACGAAAGTGAGAAATAAGGCATATTAATATTATTTATTTATTTAAACACATATATATTAGTACAAAAGGGCACCAGGTACATATGCGCCACACAAAATAATGAAAGTAGGAAGAGAAGGGATGAAAAGATAAGGCGGACTGAAATGTACAACCAGAAGACTCTTTCAGTTAAGAAAGTTAGAACCATTCTTTATGAAGAAAGTAAAAGAAGGTTGCAGCAGGATCGCCACTGGCTTCTATTCTGAGCCATATCTGATAACGTCTCTAGCCACTGTGTTGCACCATCTCTCGGACCCCAACCAGGGAGTCGTGAAGGACCAACAAAAGCTAGCCCTTTGCAGCTTTCTTTCATGCCACGACACCATGTCATACACTGACCTCCTCTCCGCTTTTTCCAACCAGTCCCAGGGTCGGCAAATAATGCACGACGTGGAAGTCTCTGGGACGACATTCGTAAAACATGTCCAAGCCACCGAAGTCGGTGTTTCAAGATGGTGACACCAATTGAATTATCGTCTCTGCGCCCGAACACACGATGCCGAACCTCTGCATTACTAACATGGTGTTGCCACTGGATGTCAGCAATCCTTCGGAGACAACGATGATCGAACACAGAGAGACGTCTAACACCCTCAACTCAAGGGAGGCCAGGTTTCACAAGCATAGAGCAAAACTGCTCTCACCGACGCGTTGTAGATCCGACCTTTTGCAGCCAGACTAACATCACGAAGGCGCCAAAGATGGCCCAGATTGGCATAAGCCGCTCTGGCTTTCATTATACGTGCATCAATCTCATCACTCACGCCACCACCAGCACTTATATAGCTACCTAGATACACGAACTTCTCTACTACTTCAATCTGCTCATCATCCAGGGTGAGTACAGGATGAGAATCCTGCCAGTCTTGTAGTAGTACTTTGCACTTGGAGGGTGCAAAGCACAAGGTTATCGTTCATTATAGGACAAGCCGATATTAGATCACCCCGTATTCTACGGTCAGATGATAGACCAGAGAGACCTTTAACCATTTTGGTCCCTCGTCATTGGACTCGCTCCAGCATATCCGCCTCATACTTGAAGCAAGGACTCGCCGCTTGAATCCCACATTCCAAATGCGGTCTCACGAAAGTCGGATATAATAATCTAAATATTTCCTCATCCAAATACTGAAAAGACCTGCGAGTAACTCATAATATCATATAACCTTTTGCGGCAGCAGCCCTACAGTTAATAGTAGCTTTGAGATCGCTGCTTATTATGACTCCTAAATCCCGACTACCTCGACGTGTTGGTCGGGCTTGCCTATCGTGATGATTTAATCAAGCTATAATGGCTGGAACAATCGTTCCTCAAGGTCCTACCATGCCAGGCAGGTCGTTTGAAGAGCGGCGAGACTAAAAGCAGCAAACCCAAGGTCCGGAGGCGAAGTCATACTGCTGATTGTACAGAGGTGTGACAGCAGTAAGGTGTTTCCTTCAGACAACCGGCATGACAGCGATGCTGCCTTCTCACAAGGTGGAGTGGGGTTAGAAAAGGTCGACCCTAAAAATGCACACCTCGCTTTATCCCACGGATATCCGTCTCCGGCGGTAAGGTCTTATGAAGAACTACCTACAAAATGGTCGCGTGTGACCGACCTCAAGCAGTTGTCGCTTGGGCACTGCGGTCACGCTCCAAGGTCATTAAGACCACTTCTAACCCAATTTCCTTTTCAGGTACCTCTAGAAGAACGCTTCCACGGTGTGGGCAACTGGGAAGTGATAACTGCCCTCATACCTCTAACAGCACTCAAGACCACTGTATTCATAATCAATCTCCTTCTTCAATTCCTACTATTCCTTCTACCTTGACTTTCAACACTAAACTTCCTCTTTCCGTTTCCTCCTCAAGTGTCACCATGGCCAACGGTTCTAGTGTGCGAAACGCTGCCCCAGGTCTACTAAAACCTCGCTCCAAACTACACATTAGAGCCTTCAATGTACGTACCCTAAGTGAAATCGGTCAACAGGCCTCCTTAGCTAAACCCCTAGAATCTCGTACCATTGATGTATGCTGTGTCTCCGAAACACGCATACAGGATCCTAGTGTGGTCATTCAGTTGACCTCACCTCGCCAAAATGGACAGCCAACGAAATACACCCTCCGTGTATCTGGCGACCCGTTGGCTAGTTCTCGTGGACTTGTGTTTGACGAAATCTCAGCACGGATTCAAAAAGCTCGTTTGACTTTTGCCAACTTACGTCACCTATGGCGAAGACGAGATATCCGTCTATCAATTAAGGGACGAGTATACTGCTCAGCAGTTCGCTCTGTTCTACTTTACGGCTGCGAAACATGGCCATTAAGAGTAGA